GAAAAGCTTTCTTTTCCACTAAATGTACATAAAGCCTCAACAGGAGGCACAATAGCAACCTTAAGGTACAGAGAGATCAGCAAAGAAGAAAGGAATCAGCTATTCTTCCAGCTCAGTGAAGATAGAACACACAGATACAGGCTTAAAGTACAGCAAAACACACCAGGACAAAAAGACAGGAAAAATTATCAGTAAAGCCACCTAGCTAAGCATTAGGTTAAACTGCTTAAATAGGTTTGAATTCTCAGAGTATTATTTTACTCCTAGAACAGTGGGAAGGACTAGATCACTCCTGAGATCTCACAGCTCATTAACTTTATAACCCTATTAAATAACATAAACCCTACTCTTGGAAAGACTTAGGTGTGTACTTAATTTTAAGCAGTAGATCACACCCGAGATCTCACAGCTCATTACATTTATAACCCTATTAAATAACGTAGAACCTCATCTTGGAAAGACTTAGCTGTGTACTCATTTTAAGCAGTTGACAAACCTCATTGAAGTCAGCAGGATTTCTCAGATTAAGCACCTCACTGAACACTGCATCATGTTCTCTCTGCTCTGCACTACAAGAACAAGCCCAGCCAAAAGGAAAGAAGAATAAAACCAGTCATTTGAAGCCACAAAACATGCTGTGTTAATACACTCAGAATCGGAATTGATATCCTGAGGTCTTAAAATGAGTACTGCACTAAAGTCACCTGCCTACCACACCATAGGAAGAAGTGGATTGTTTACAGAGCTGTTAGTTCTGGGAGAGGCTTGTGTGCTAATAGTTTGAGATGAGCCTTCAGTCAACACTTTGACCACACATCACCCTTTCCTGGGCTGGGTCTTATTGCAACATTTTGGGTTTGCCAGGATTAAAACAATTTTAGTAGAGTGACTATGTAACTCTTTCATACACTGAACAGAAAAAGAAAACAAAAAACCCTAAAAAACAAGTTAACCAACAGGAGCTGTTCTATTGCATTTGCGTCATTAACTTTGACTGTGGATCTGTAGAAGGCTATTGCTTGTTTACTAACCTTTCGGGGGCAAGACTTCCTAACCTTGCATTAGGGAAACTAGCATCCTAGAGTCAGTTCCCAACACACAGTCTCAAATGGTTCCTGAGCTCAGAAATGACAAAATCTTCAAGAATCACCTGGCTATCACCTTCTTCTATAAGGGGTTATTAGGGACTTGGACTACAAGCTGGACAGAAGCTCCATTTTCTGTCCTGGTAAAGGTTGTGAATTGTCAGCATTTGTTACTGCTCAGAATGAAGAGTATATCAACTGGCATAAAATATTCCAAAAGAAAATGTACTTTGACAGTATTATAACTCCAGTGAATAAATACAGTATGATTTAAATATCTGAAGTCAAAAAAGTAATGACATAACAAAATAAGATGTTTTTACTTTACTAGAAATATCCCCTGCACACCATAACTTCAAAATGATAATAGGTCTGATTTTTTGATACTTGTCAGTCAAGAACACAATTTAATTTAGCATATCCCACAACATATCTACCAACTATTTACCAGTAGAGCACATTGTAATCAAGAACATTTAAGTCACTTCTATAAATAGCTTAGACATACAATCATAGTTTATAGTCAACTTTAGCTATTAAGTTAATTTGAAGATCCTACAGCAAAAACAGTACAAGAAATACAGGCTTTTTTTCTCTGCCTGGGAGTTTTGCTGTACTATTTGAGCCTGAGTGCTAATGCCATAAACCACAAGTCATTCCTCACACAGTTTACACATAAACTGCATGAGTGGAACCAGTGTGGAGCTGAGCCAGAGAATACAAGGATCCATGGTATTTTACACCTTTTAAAGAAAGCAGTTCAGACAGCTTGCAAGTAATGCTGTCCCGCTGCTGGTGAAACTGGAACAGCGATCTTTGCACATTTTGCAGCTCTAGGGCTGTAAAACATAAGCTAGTGAGGAGGTCTTTCTAAGTGACCAGGGAGAGAGGCAGTCTTAGGAGCCTGAGATTGCTGGATGAGTCCCAAAATGTTTGGGATAGTAGGTATCGGAGCACATGTAGGTCAACAATAAGGTTGGCAACACAGCAAAGTTGCCCAGATCACACACATCTGTGAGAGACAGCAGGGTTGAGAAACAGGCACGTCTTACAAGTCAAGCAAGTGCTGGGATACACGAGTGCTGCTGGGAGAGAGCAACTTGGTCTGTTAGTAAGCACATCAAATGCTGGCTGAACAGGTGTCCTTCTGTCTGGCAGCTGCTCTTACTGTACGTATGAAAGGCAAGCAAATCCCAGGAAGGCACAGCAGGGAAAATAATCACAAAAATTAAATGCAAGCAAAGAGCAGAGCTATGCAAATATACAATTTCCTCACCCTTTTGGACACTGAGGTTCAGTAATGTCCTCACACTCTTCTTCAACCCAGCTTGCCTCTCCTTAAAACAAACGAGCGCAATTTATTTTTTAAGACAGTACATTCTTACTGATAAATGTAAGATTTTTTTTATTTTACTGGATGTTTCTAGAGTCCTTACTCCTTTCATATAATTTCAGGTACATATGAAAGACTATAGGAATTAGTTGGGGATATTTACCTTTACAAACAGCTTGATAATTGACACAGCAATCTTCGTTTTCCACACAGTCATCTGAACAGGAACAATGATATTCTGGTCGCCTCTTTTCTCCACACCTGAATTTATTGCAGGTCCATATGTGGGCTAAAAAAAAGATGAGAGAGAAGGACAGCACAATGACTTACACAATGTTGTAAGTGCAGAACTAACAAATCAAGTGTAAAGTTAAGTCTCAAATGTCTACTCACTGGAAAACAGTCTTGAGTTCTCACTCATGGATAGTATTGCAAACTTTGGCGCTTTGGAAAATAGAAGCACCCTGTCTGAGTTAAAGAAGCATTTGGACAATGCTTTCAGGTACATAGCATGATTCTTGGAGTATCCTATGCAGGGCCAGGAGTTGGACTTGATCCTGATAGGTCCCTTCCCGTTAAGCATATTCTATGATACTATGATTTTGTTATCAGTTGTAAATACAAGCAGATCCGTTACATTCAATGAGGATAAGCATGAATGAATTTACCAGCTGAGTGAATATTTACGTGAAGCTCTTAACAGAGACATGGAAGTCAAATCTAAATATTTGAACAGAGGACACTCAATGATCTTCACACATGACTAGCAATTAGAAATCCCTAAAGGCATTGTCAGAGGTTAATCTCACTTTCAGGATACTGAACTTCAGTAACTCCACTAATATCAATAGATCTTTACTTCTGTGAGAGAAGGGGAAGAATCTATTATGGTTCTAGTTACACTGGGAAATTAGAATTTGATTCTCCACTGATGTTAAGGCTAATTTAAAAAACACAAACAAACAAAAACAAACAAACAAACAAAAAAAACCACCACCACAAATCAGTTCATTCATATTCTTAGTGCTAAGACAGACTGTCCAGTTTGTTTTTAAAGAATTTTTTTAACTGAGGGAAAATGATGTAATGAAACACAGCAGAGTAAACTCTATGCAACTATATATATATATCAACTATATATGCAACTTTGTATATATAAACAAAAAGCTCTAGGCAAATGAGATGGCCTTTCAATAGCAGTCAGTTGAAGTAGAGATTTGTGCCTAGTTTAATCATTTTCAAAGTACACATTAGAATTCTAAATTTATCACTGTTGTCTTACCCAGAAATTAATCAAATACATGTAAAGAGGAGCAAGAAGAAAAACAGTTATCTGAAAAGAATGCTGCATTTGAAGCATGAAGGCAAAATTAAGGTAAAAGTAGAGAAAGCAGTCAAGTTTTGCCCTTAGTGTTCCACCTGCACTAAGAACTTCCTGTAAAAATTCTTCAAGGTATTTTTCACACCTTTGCCTATCTGGCCTTTTCTTTCTGGCAAATCATGACAACTGCTACTCATATTGCAATCTGTTTTGTCATCCTGCCTTGATTCATGCTCATGACCGTTGCTTCACACTCAGGCTGGGCTGTAACGAGGCAAAGGGCCTGAATAGCTGGGTAAGGAGAGATGGCAGCTTTTACAGAGCTGCTCTGTCCTTCCCCTTTTTTCACGCAGGCAATGACAGAAAAATACAATATGCAGAATGCACTTCTATTCTGGTCTTGCCTGAGAATGTAGGAGTTGTCCCTGATGCCGGGGACAATGCAGGTCACTGTTCTCTCACCAGCAGACAAAGAACAAAAAGCTGGCTGAGACCTCAAGTTGCAGTTATTCCTCCTCTTTCCAAGGGGGAGGGCAGCAGCACAGTCTGTTGTAGCCTCTCTCTTCACAGGAGAGCTATGGTAAAGCCATTATAGTGGCTATGTCAGCTCCTGGGTAGTCCAGCTGGCCAAAAAAACAATCTTTGTTTGTGTAAAACAGCAGCTGTACAAAGCCCTGATGTTTCCACAGGAGTCCCCAGCAACCCTATCCCCACTGCAACTCCACTCAGGAATGCAATGGAAGGAACACAAAGAGAGGGAGATCACTGGCATCAGAACCTAGAACCGGCATCAGAACCTAGAACCGGCATCAGAACCTAGAACCGGCATCAGAACCTAGAACCGGCATCAGAACCTAGAACCGGCATCAGAACCTAGACTCTGCTGTTCAGTAGCACCTCCTTTGCACTCATAGCCCAACTGAAAGAAATCCTGACCACAGCAGTATTCACATATGCTGTCTCTTGTCACAGAACAGGAGAGATTGCTCCCACAGTCATAACCTGGATTACCTTTTCATCCTTACCTGGTTCTATACATGTTTCCTGGTAATCTAAGCAGCAGTTTCCAAGCTTGACACAATCTTTATCACAACGGCAGCTTCCAAAGGTCCTTTCAAAGCAACGACCTTTGCAGGTTTTCACTGTAATGTTGGACAGTGTTAGATGTCAGTGGCTGAGCCCAAATCAGTCAACATGCAAAAAAAATCAATGCATTCAGTTTGCGAGATGACACAGTTGGTCATTCCAAACTTACAGGGTGGCTGCAAAAACAGTGACAGCCAAAGGAAAGTCTTGACCCAACTGAATATTTTCTCTTACTGAACAAAAATATTTTTCATCATATTGAACAAAGGATTCTGTTCTGTTTTAGCAGGAACATGGCGTTTCATTACTGGCAGAAAAAAGTGAAACAAAAGACTACAATTCCAGTTGTGACTGTCCTTGCCTTTCTGTATCACTGGAATATTTGACTACAGTCACTCAGAAAATGGAGAATCTGTTGGAGGATGTTTTCACTGTGGGTGCCCTAGACAATGAAATGCTTCTGCAGAGAATGCTAATCTTCATTTTTATGTCTGAAAACTATAAATAATCAAACACTAATTAGAATCTAGACTGAATTGCCTATGCTTGCAACTCTCCCATGCCCCAGGGAGGAAGAACTGAAGAAGCCCCAGTTCTGCATCCCACTGTACCATGAAGGTGCTATCTCAAGACATAAAAAGGGTTGTTCCAAAGCAGTCACAAGAGATACTAACTTAAGTGTATTGCTCACTGTTTTGTTTTTTTTTTCTCCCATTTTAATGTGAAAAAAAGACATAGCATTCTTCCACTAGACTGGAGTTGCTGGGGTAGGGGAATTAAAAAAAAAAAAAAAAAAAAAAAAAAAAAAAAAAAGAAACACCAGACTAGAAACTGGTTGATGTGAAGCATTAACAAAACTTAAGTAGTTGGTCTAATCCTGTGCAATCACCAAAAGGGAGCGAGGTAAATTCTTCACCATCTGGCTCCTCAATAATCTTAAGGTGTGTGATATTAGGAAAATGAGATACTAATCAGTCAATGTTGCAAAGCTGTAATAAAATGAGAAAAATACTACATATATTCTAGTGGAAAATCAATAATCTGAATCTTAGTTCAAAATCAATGTTCAACAGATCAACTTTGAAATTATTCTGGATAGTTGTTCACAAAGTGAAGCTTCATTTCTTAAAAAAAAAAAAAATCTTTCATAACCTTCTACCTGAAGAAACTTCACCCCACATATTTTTCAGGACAGAAAACAGACATAGGAATTCCACAAGGAATGTTTTCAGGCTACAATTCTAACCAGTAAAAAAAAAATAACTTTTTTCCCCCCCATAATTGCTGGAAAAGATGAAAAACAAATGTTCCAGGACAACATGAAATAGAAGGTTTTGGTTGGTTGGGGTTTTTTTTTATGGTGAACTGAGAAAAGCCAGCCATGTGACACCACCACAGTGACAGCTGGGATACATGGAAGCTGCCAGATCAGACACCAAGTACCAGGATCAGTTTACCTCTCAAGTGAGTACACACAAGTGTTGAGTACACCTGAGGTTTATTTTCTGTTTATTTTCTGGTATTTTAAGTCCCATCTAACTGATACTGCTTCAAGCAATGCATCCAATCCTCTTTTGCAGCAAGAAAGAGTGGCATTCTGGTAATATGAAAATTAATTTACAAAAAGAAAAAAAAAAAGGAAAATATTACTAAACAAAAGGCATATTACTTACCATCTTTTGAACAGCTAGGCTTCAGGCCAAATATACATCCTAAGATTGTTGTTAACACGCAGACACAGAGTACCTGTGGGACAGGAAGGAAAAGAAAGCAATCTTAAATTACCATTGAATGTTTTTAAAATCTTTCATTTTCTCTATAATGCTATACAATTGTACAGGGATTTATAAACATGCAGATTAGTAGGCTGATTTCACTGTTTTCACCAGCAGTTTTAACTCCCACAAGTAGTTGTTCTTTGTCATTAATTACTAGTTGCATGAACACGAATATTGTCACGACTGGGCCTATGTATACAATTTCTTATCAAGCCATTTAACACAGATATGATGATATAGTTCTTTCTCCTTTCTTGATTTCTTTTATATTACGCTTTCATGATGATATATTTCTTTTTGTATTTCTTACACATATATCCATTTTATAGAAAACGTTTCTTGCTCCACTCTTTCCTTTCCCCCTTGTTTGTTCTAACAAGGTGGAGCAAAGTTTTGCCATTAACCACAGATTACAGAAGGCATGACCCTTAAGTGATACCTATAATAAAGGGAAACCTTTTCCCACTTCCTAGTATCCAGCTCATACTAGATGTGGGTCCACACCGTGGTAAGCAACTGCGGCATGTCACATTAAGGCTGACCACAGTGTCTTGCACTGTCCAGAAACTATGGCTGTGTTAATTTTGGATTCTGGATTAATTAAAGTTATCAAACAAACACCACATTGTCCTTGTCCAGCATTTCAGGGCAAGATTTAACACCTACTCAAAGACAAAGATTTCCTTTAACCTCATTAAGTATTGGATTTGGTCCATACACTCTTTAGAAAAAGCGTATTTACTATCAGTGCATATACAGTACTTAAAGAGAAGCCAACAATGCAGTAATGAGGGCTATCCTATTCAAGTGCAGAATGCAGTAAGGTAGTTTGCCCAAAGTCATGAAACAGAAGGCACTACAATAATGCAGACTTTCTTATACAGAAGTATTTGGGAGGCTTTGGGTATGAGAATGTACATGTCACCTCTCCAGTCACTTTTTTCTGTGGAAAAATTGCTTTGAAGTAATACTTCAATAACTTTATGTGCATGCCTACACAAAGTCTATCCCTTTTTTCCTTCTTTCCCACCAATAAAAGCTGCTGAGTCAAGTCTTTTGAGTAGGATGCCTGAATCATGTTGCGATGTGGCAAAAATTCTATTTTAAAATGCACCTAATTATTTCTTAAGGTTATTTTTCTCAAATTGAGCACAAGCACTTCAGTAACTAAAAACTATTTGTGTTGTTTTTAAGAACTATACAGTTCACTATGCAATTTCATTCACTAAGAAGTTAATAAAGACAGTAAGAAAGCATGGAATGTGCAGCATTGAAATTCAGATATTATTCTGGATTTCTGAACTACAAATTATCATAAACAATATTACATGTGTAGCATTCATGAAAAAAAATCGCAATGACAGATTGGACCTGATGAAGTTTTGGCCTAGAATTCTGAACCAGGCAAGTCTGGAATCTTATTCAACACCATGTATAGCAGAGAAACAAACACTTTGAGTTCAAATCTGTCTTTGAATTGACAGGGAAAGAAGCAAAATCATAAAACAATAAGGGGTAGGGTGGGTGGTGGAATCTAGCATTATCAGTGCAGTTGGATATGCAAAAACTTACAGAAAGATGCAAGTCTCCATTAACTCAGCTGTCAAGAACAAACTAAACTGCAGAGCTCTGTACTTGCCTTTTTTTTTTCTTTTTTTAAACCAGCACACTAACACGTGCAGCATTACGACATTTTCTGTTAAGTCAATATCAACTACGTTATCTTTAATGCACATTGTTCTGGACCTTTGAAATCTTCCGTACAAAATAGATAAAAGCAGGTGCACAGCTAGGTACATAACATGTCAAATGCAAGTTGTCAAAGAACAGCCAAATCAGAGGAGTGAGCAAAGCTTGTTATTGTCCTTTTAACTTATGTATTATTATTGCTGTTGTTGTTGTTATTTAGAAATTACAAATTGATTAATTTGTTTTTAAAAAGCCAAGTTGAGAACATTTTATCTCATGGTAATGAGATATTGCTTCTCTGCTCCCACCAGGACCTAGTACTAAAATCAAGGAGTAGATTGTCCTCTGACATGTAAGCCCAGACATGCTTTAAAACAAAAAAAACCCCACAGCTACTCTGTCTATAACAGCTTTATTCCCATATCTTCAAACAGCTACATGACCTATTGGACTTAAGCCACCTAAGGCATCCTTGTATGGCGGGCATATTGCAGTGCCGTTAAATGGACAATTAATATTCCCTTATGGAGTTTCAGTGTAGTTAATGCAGGAATTTAAACGTGACACGAAATTAATGTAAAAATAAAATCTAAATAAAGCCAACTCCAAAGTGATAGCATTAATACTTCTAAACATAGAACTGGTAAAACCTCACACAATTTCTCGCAAACAACTCCCAAGATTTTGGCAGCAAATGTTACAAAATCACAGTTTTGTGTTGTATTCCAGATTTTCAGCTTTACACTTCTATGAACATAATTCTAATAAGCAAAAACAAGAGGATTATGTTCACTGAGGCACATGAGTGCTGTTTTGGGTAGGAAATGCTATAAAATGCAATACTAAATGCAATAAATGTAATAAATGAAGATTTTGAAACTCTATTGACTCACTACATTAAAACCTTTTTTTCTTTACATTGGTCCCAATAGCTTAAATTTTAGTCCTAAAGATACCTTACTGCAAAACACTAAAGTTTCCCCTTCTTTTTCCTTTCTTTCTTCAATGCATCATGAGGAAGTTTTACACAAATGAGAAGTTTAGAGGTAAAGTATTTGACAATGTTCTAGGACAGCCAACTCTAATCCAGTGGACTATACCATGCAATTGCAGCTTAGTGTTTAAGGCCTTGAATTGAAGCTTTATCTTGAGCCTGAATGAATTCAGTCACATGATTATCCAAACAAATGACAAATGTTCTGCTGGAACAATGAGGAGCACTTAATACTGGTCAACAGCAGCAGTAGTCCTAACTAGGCACAGCAAGAGGTGTTACACTAGTAGTTGACCTATTGTCAGCTCTGCAGATGACGAGGAATATTCAAAATAATTGTAAAGGTTGCCTAGATACAGAAAAACATCTCACTGCTGCAGCCCAAACCAATTTACTTTATTTCTTTCTGTGTTGCAACATCTCTGTTGTCCACAGAATTGTGGTTTTACCATCCCTGGAAGCGCTCCAGGCCAAGTTGGACAGGTCTTTGAGCAACCTGGTCTAGTGGAAGGAGTCCCTGCCCACAGCAGGGGGACTGGAACTAGATGATCTCTGAGGTCCCTTCCAACCCAAACCGTTCAGTGATTCTATATGGGACCTCACTGCAGCAGGTAGGTTCCCAGTTTTACCTGAACTCTTTTACATACGGGTAGCTCAGGTTTAGGATGCCGTAGTCTGCTGTGTAAAGATTACATACTTTTTCAAAATACAGAGAGAGAAGTAGCTGCATGCATTCTTGTTTGCAAGAACTTTGTTTAGCATCCTGCAGCATTCTGCTGCAAGCACCAAATTCAAATCTCTAGTTACTACCACACTATCGTCCTAACACCTGCCTTGAAGGTTTAATCTGTCTTTTTTAAACAAAAGGAGAAAATCTTACTTGTTCTTTCTCCCTCATCCATATTTTTCCCCTTAAAAGAGAAAGCAAGAAAAACGTGCAATTAAGAAAGAATACAGGAATCCAACATTTAGTAGGAAGGTAAATAAAATTAAAGAGCCTGCCATTATAATACACAAAAGTAGAAAATGAACTTTTTATGATCTGTGTCTTGAGAGACCGCTAGGACAAAATGTCAGATTCAATTTTAATATAGTATGTGAGAAAAGGTTTTAAAACAACACAGTAACAACTGCAGAGAAGAAAGTGTCCTTTTTGTTTTAAAAATAATTTTTAGCAAGTTTGTTTTGGAATCACAAAAACATTGTCATCTAGGGATGAATCTCTGTCCCATCACTGCTTCCTTTACGTGGGAGGGAGCAATAAAAGCTTTGCTTTGTAAACATTATAGTGGTTGAGAATAGGTGGTTGAGCATCTGGAAAACTGCAATGCCAAAAACATTTTAAAAGCCTTTTATTTCAAAAGCCTTTTATTTTGAGCTGGGTAGATGGAAATATGATAACATGGTTAGAGAGGAGAATCATTTCCGTCACTTATCTCCAGAACTGAAGCTGAATAGAGTTTCTCAGCAGTGATTTCACGGTGTGAGCAGAAGGGCCAGAGAGTCAGCAAGTATGCAGGCTGTATACACCACATCCCAAAGAGACCCATCAACTCTATAAGTCTTAGTGACCTACCAAGAAATCTCTCACCAGCCTTAGCTACTGTCCCCTTTCTTTTGCTACTGTATTTTACTCTTTTTTACTACCTTTCTCGTTGTTCTTCCTTAGCTCTGTCCATCTCCCCCACTCCCCTCTTCTATTCTGTATTTTCTCTGGCAAAGAATACACTGATATTTCTTTTAATTAGGAATACTCATTCTGAATTAAGTTGCTTTCAGTGTTGATTATTCTCACTCTGCCTGCCATGTGCTCAGTTGCTTCCTAGTATTCCACGGCCAGCAAAACTTGCCACTCCAAGGTTTAAGACACCTGCATTAACAGCTATGCAATTATCAAAGAAACAATGCAAAGTAATGGTTTTTAAGTCTAATCTCCAAGATTGACTCTCACAGTTGTGCCACATCTATCCATGAAGGGAGGATGTCTAGACTGGATCTCTAATGCCAGTAATTACAAAAACCCATGGAATTTTCCAAAACCACTGGGATCAGTGAAAGGCATACCATGTTTTCACTGTTTTGTGCCCCTAGAACAGATGACTAATGACCTGGACCTTAACACTGAAATTATTTGAAAAAGAATTTAAGCTTCAAAAGTGTAAAGAATGCGGTAACAAATAATGAATTTCAAGCAAAAAAGGGTCACCTTCTGTCTCTAAAAGAGCACTGTTAAGAATGCAGAAAGCATACTGTAAAAAGGAAAAAAAACCCTTACCTACATTTGCCAGGGACAGTGGAACACTTAAGTATGCTTGTAAAAATTATTTTTAAACAAGCATAACTCCCCTGCCAACAGCTCGGGTTTATTCAAAAGCCACGGATACTTAATGAACTTCACTAAATTAAAAGGAGGTGAATACTTTACTCAACCAGCACTGCTACATACTTAAGTAGATCACCTAAAAAAAGTTACCAGCACTGAACCAAGTGGACCACCTCCTCACCTCCTTTTTGCACCACTTCTATCTTCTTTCCACATTTGTAAATATTTTTATGATCTTCAAAGACTTGTTTCTGTTTATCCACATTCCACACCTAGAGGCCTGCAGGAGGAGAGCTGCTGAGGCTCTAAGGTCATGGCTGTCCTAAAATACTAAAGGTGACTAAATTATTCTGAAGTCAGTGGATGAAAAAGCCCAGGAGAGCTTACACCCAAAACCTTTTCAGAGCAAAAAAAATTTACTCTAAAAATGTATAGGCATTATTGTTTTCCTTCTCAAAGCAGTACACAGAAAGTCTACTCTTATTCTCTCTATTTAATGTTCTCAAGACTATTATTATACACTACTGCAACCTAAGGTCATTCAAAGGACAAGAATCTTTTAAAGGTAGATCAAGCTACTGTAAGATATTATAAAAAGCCTTCACAGAGCTTACCAAAAAGTGGTAACTCTTCACTCAGCAGAGAATTATCAGCAGAAGACATCATCATACTATAGCTCTCTAAATACCTTCCAAAACTATTCAAGAATCTGGTTTTGGGGAAAAAAAAAAATACAAAAAGACAGAACAGAGTTAGCATCTGTCAGTAGGAATCTAAAATACTTCTCTTATTTGCTACTTGCTCAACTGTATACATACATATTCTCCTGAAAGTCATTAGCACAAGAGCTGCTATCAAAGCACAACCATTTTATCGTAGCTGTCATGTTCTTCAGTGTGTTTTACATCATGGGAGAATTTAGAGAGAAACTGAAATGTAACTGTATGCTAGCCAAAAAAAAGGGGAAATAAAACTTTGAATTAAATTCCCAGAAAACAGTCTGTAGCTGACCCTTCCATTTAATCACCACAGAGATTTTTGTAAAAACCTAAGGATAAACAGAACTGAAAACTGATCTTATGACAAGAAAGTAAATATTGCACTTTCAAATACGATTCTTTTATTCAGCACAGCAGAATAAGAACTCAGATCAAAGACCGCCACATCATCCAGATGTGATATGAATCGCACATGACTGGCAAGCAGATATGAATGCATGGTTGCATAGAAAGAGAAGAAACTGTCGGTAATTATGGCAACTAAAATCTGTTTTCCAAACAAGCTGCACTTGACCCATGAATACAAGCAAAACTGAATATGAAAATATGGCCTTGAGCCATCTTCATGCCCTTCCTATTCCAAAAATCCATTTTCAAGAAATAAGCTAAAGCTGCTTCAGTTTAGAGTACTATCATGAGAGTTGTGACAAAAACAGTGTAAAAAGGGAGCTGCTTCTATTGGGTACAGATAATAACACCAAATATACCAAGTAAACCCATATCCAACTCCATTTTTACATGGCACATGCTGTTGTTACTGTTATAATGACAGTAACTAACCCCCACAGAAAGACACAGAGGCCTTAAAGAGAAAGCAAAGAAATTCTGTAAAACACTATAAGAATATAAGGAGTGTCAAAAAATTGCAGAACCACAAAGCAGTATGGGAAGAAGTTGGGACAAATTAGGTTTAATAGCATCATTTGGGTTGGAAAAAAAACTTTAAGATCATCCAGTTCGACTGTTTCAGTTATTCACAACAGGTTTTTACTAAGCACACTGATATCAATCACAAACACATCTTCAGCCTTGAGGCCTTTGGCAATTTTCCCAAAATGAAGAGCAGGGCTGACAAAGAAGTCATTATTTATCTCTGCACCCTTTGAATACAGCCCCTCAAAAAACAAAAGGCAGACTATCAAATTTTGATGCTTCACAACATGGAAACATATTTGAGCCAGAAGAGGATTCAAGAACTGGCCCACTTACCAGAGATAAACAGCACAAGGAAATATGCATGGCCAGGTTTGATTATTGACTTCTGTTGAAGCAGCTTATAACAACATTATAGTTTTTGTTATTCTATGAACAACAAACAATGTTTAACACAAATACTGCCACATATTAGAAAGAATTTATATACATTGATTTGTCTATATGCCATTGAACAGCAGAACTGCGTCAAGATTCATGCTCACCTGAGTTTCTCCAGAAATGCAAATATTTCTTTTTTTTTTCTTAATAATTTCTAATACTGTCTCCAATGTGAGAAACTCCTTATACCTTTCATGTTTTCAAAGCCTTTATTTTGCTATGCTCCTTCTTTCAGCTGGAAGCAACAGAAACACAGCTTCCACAGCAAGTTGAATCAGAACAATTCACTCTAACTCTACTGATATTAGTGGAAGGATGCAAAGGAAAATTTTTGAAGAGCAGGAGTTGAAAGGAAGCTTTGCATAGTTCTTGTATCTTTGGTCTTTTCTGAAATTTAAGTTTTAGGACAGTAACTAAGTTGTTCTGAATTTAAGTCAATAATTAAACCTAGAGAAAGCCTATCCACTTGAATTATTCACATCTTCCTTATTATTTTAGTATCCAAGAGCCTTGTAGAAATACATGGAAGTATGTTTAGAACAAGAGTACACTCCCTTCTCCCAGGAGTTTGGCTGCCTGTGATTGGGGTCAGTTCTCCAGTAGTGGTTGAACAATTGATAGAACTGTTTGGGAAACCCCAACCAGCCTTGAAGACAGTTCTTTAACAGAAAAATAGAGGAAGCCTCAGAAGAGTCATTCTCCTTTGTTTTACCCTGTTGCACCTCTGTCCCCGTCTGAACTGTGTTACAGTCACACAGCAGTCAAGTCCATCCTGGCCAAGCATGCTATAGACCCTAATTCACAGGACTTCCTTCCTTCCTTCACCTTGATCTGTCTCATCACTATATACTCATCCGGCAATTTAGACTATTGGCTGAACCTGATTAGTGTCCCCAAACCTGCTGTGTTCACCTTGCTCACATACAAGGAGACTGTCCCTTTACAATGAGGCCACAATGTGTGTGCCTTATTGCCACTACTAGATACAGTTCTTCCTTCTCTTCCACTGTGACCTGCCCTCAATCTGATGCCTGACAGGTAGATGAAGATTATTACTGCAAAACTGAAGAATGGTAACAGAAACCCTAAGGCATGAACTGAGTAAGAGCTCTGAATGCTGGAGCAGTAAGTCTGAGCATGACACCAGTCATGACCCCAGTCACTCACTTGTTTTGCCTGAATGGACTTAAGGGCTGAGCCTAGCACACTACAGCCTAACTTAACAGCAGATATTCCACATTAAATTCCTAGGCACAACGTGGTAGTTTTCAGGCAGGCAACCAGCCAACAGCATTGAGAGAAGAACCAGTCACCCATCTGGGTGTACTTCAGCCTGTTGCAAGCTTTGCACTCTAGCTGGAGTCTAGGCAGCCTAATGCACTCACACAGGCACTGCATTCCAAGAGGAGAATTACCTAAACTGCACACTGTTTAGTCTGTGCAGAAAGCCATACCTAAACTTAAAGTGAGCTGAGGTGTGCTTAGCAAATTCACA